AGGCTCACATGACCAAAGCAGCCCAAAACAAAGCTAAATCATGCCAAATTAGAGGCAAACACATGCTGGAAATAAGGTAAGTTAAGCCACAAAAACGTGCTACCATGTGATGCTAACTAGGCATAGAAGTGAGACACAAGGAGGGGAGGGTAAACCCTCTATTTTTGGACTTCAAAACATACTTTTTACCACTGAAATGACTTTGAATTTTAGTGGTTAAAAGGCCCAAAACGTTTGAATTTAATATGCTAAAAGATGGTGTAAAGGCTCACACAAATAGGCAACAAGAAAGGTAGACAACCCCTTAGCACAAAATAGGCTCAAACCACCATTTTTAAAATTGAAAAATAGAGGTTTTTACAGTTGAAAACCAGCTCAAAAACAGTGTCAAAAGATGGCAAAACAAGTACGGAAATTAAGCTAGCAAAGAGAAGTTTCTACCTCTTGAATGGAAGACACAACTTAAGCAACAATCTGAGCTTAAACCACCTTCTAGAGCTCAAAGGAAGCTCCAAGAGAGCTTCAAGCAACCTCAGCCCAAAGATGAACTACTTTGATCAAGGATGTCTAGGCAAAGGAGAGGTGTATCTCTACTTGTATGGACAAAAAGGCAAGAGAGAGAGAGAAATCTAGAGAAAGTGAATTGTAGAGAGAGGATTTTTAAAAAGAGAGGCTCCCAAAATTTTCCAACCTTGCAATATGAGAGATATGGCCTGCATATATAGAAATACAAGAGCTCAAGTCAAAAATATCAATGAAGAAATATCTGGAGCAGTGTGGGAGACAGTTGGAGGATAATATCTAGAAAATTTGAGCTTTTTTCACAAGTGGCCGACGGCCAGAAGTAGTGGCCGATCGTCCACTTGTGGTGGTCGGTCGGCCACTAATGGTGGCCGGTCGGCCACCAAAAATCTGCTTTTAGGCCCGATTGCAAACAGGCATATCTCCTTCATCTGGACTCCTTTGCAGGTCATTCTTGTGCCTAAATTGAAGCCCCGGAAGTCTTGTTTCCAATGGTGGAAGCCTCACATAAAAATTCCAAGTGTTCTAAGAGATATCCTTCTTTTAATGAAGACTGCTCAGTTTCAGTCTAACCGGATTGATGCCTAACTTCAACCAGCCATATCTCCCTCATCTGGCCTCGGCTTGAGGAGATTCTTGAATGTAAAATGAAGCCCCGGAAGTCCAATTTTCAACGATGGTGGCCTCATAGTTGAAATCCAAGTGTACAAATGGATAGGCCCGATTTAGCGAGGGCTGCTCGACTCTCTCTTAACGATTCATGCCCATCTTCTTCCCCAACTTGGTTTCTTCCCTCTCCTCTAATTTTCTTCAACTCCAAACCTCTAAAGAAGATGTTTTAAAGATTTTCTTCAAAGAGTTCACCTCTCTTTCATTCATTTCTACTTTGTCCTTG